AGTTCAAGGGTTCCATGAGGGTGAAGAGGGCTCAATTTCAAACATTGAAGTCTGAGTTTGAAATGCTCAGAATGAAGGAGGGAGAGACTGTTAATGCATATTTCGGGCGAACTCTTTCCATTGCCAAACAGATGAAAGTGTGTGGAGAAATTGTACAAGAAAGGATATTACAAGGAAGATTCTCAAATCCCTTGTACCAAAATTTAATCATGTCGTTTGCTCCATTGAAGAATCCAACAATGTCGACACTCTTACAGTTGATGAACTTCAAAGCAGCTTGTTGATCCATGAGTAGAGAATGAAGAATGTTGACAGAGAAGAACAAGTATTGCTGAAGGTAACTCATGAAGGGAGACCAGAAATAGGGAGATGGAGAGGAAAAGGAGAAATTAGAAGAGGTCGAGGAAGAGGGATAACATTTTGGCCACTTCCAATATGAATGCCCTACATTGGGAAAGCATCCAAACTACACCGAACTAGACGAGAATGAGGAGATGTTGCCGATGGCCCATGTCGATGAAATTGGAGCAAAGAGAGAAGACATTTGGTTTTTGGATTCAGGTTGTAGTAATCACATATGTGGTAACAAAGCTCTATTTTATGAAATAGGAAGTGTCTCTCAACAAACTGTGCAGTTGGGCAACGATACTAGAATGCAAGTTTCTAGAAAAGGAAGCATCAAAATGGAGGTTGATGATGCTAATTTCATTGTCGGTGATGTTTTTTGTGTTCCTGAACTTTAAAATAATCTTCTAAGCATTTGGGCAACTCCATAAAAGAGGTATTTCCATCCTTATAGAAGCTGGAATGTGCAAAATCTTTCATCCATAAAAAGATTTGATCATTCAAACCAAAATGACGGAAAATCAAATGTTCATCTTGGTAGCCAAGATCCTATCAGTGTCCCTTCAACCAAAATAGAAAGTATGTTTCAATGCATCAAGTGAGGACCTCACACACCTCTGGCACTACAGATTGGGACATATCAGTAACACAAATCTGCAAATTTTGCAGAGTAAGATAATGGTGCATGGTTTGCCTTAATTGACAATCTCAGATGAAGTCTGTGTAGATTGTTTGAAAGGAAAGCAACAAAGGGAGCCCATTCCAAAAAGAAGCACATGGAGAGCAACACAAAGGTTAGAACTTGTTCATACTGACTTGTGTGGTCCAATTTCACCTATTTCTAATAGTGAAAGAAAATATATGCTATGCTTAATTGATGATTATAGCCGGAAAGTTTGGTCGTATATTTTGCATGTAAAGTCAGATACATTTGCTGTATTCAAAATATTTAAGACATTTGTTGAGAAAGAAACCGATCTTTCTATCAAATGCCTACGAACAGATCGAGAGGGTGAGTTCACCTCTATTGAGTTCAACGATTTCTATAAAGACAATGGAATTAAAAGACAACTGACAACTGCATACACTCCTCAACAAAATGGAGTAGCTGAAAGGAAAAATCTACAGTGATGAACTGTGTAAGAAGCATGTTGTCTGAAAAAGGTAAACCTTGTTGGCCTGAAACAGTGAAGTGGACAGTTTATGTTCTCAATCGATGACCTACCATAGCCTTAAAAGATACAAACCCAGAAGAAGTTTGGAGTGGAGAAAAGCCCTATGTTGAACATCTCAGGGTCTTTAGGTGTGTGTCACATACATGTACCAGATGCAAAAAGAACGAAGTTGGAAAGAAAAAGTATAAGTGGCATTCTGTTGGGTATTAGCGATGAATCAAAAGGACACAAAGTATATGATCCCATGTCAAAGAAGGTAGTAATGAGCAGGGATGTTGTGTTTGAAGAGAAGAAAAAATGGGATTGGGATAAGAGCTATAAGCAGCAGATACTTGATGAGCTTGAATGGGGAGAAAGCGAAGATAAAATAATTGTAGAAGAGGAAATTGATGGTGACTTAGAGGCTGAAAATTCAAATTTTAATGATAATTTTGTTGTTTTTGAAGATGAAATTGAGACAAGTGATGCAGCAACGCATCCGTTAATTTTCATCACTTCCTAACACTCTGATACAGAAGTACGAAATAGGAGGCCACCTACCTGGATGAATGATTATGTGAGCGGAGAAGGTTTTTCAGATAATGAAATTAATTTTGTTGTAGGTACAAATTCAGACCCTGATAATTTTGAAGAAGCTGTGAAAAGTGAGCATTGGAAGAAATCTATGGAGGTTGAAATCAAGAGCATAGAAAAGAACAATACATGGTTTCTCACTTATTTATCAAAAGGCGCAAAGCATATTGGAGTAAAGTGGGTTTTCAAAACGAAACTGAAGGAGCACGGTGAAGTGGAGAAATTTAAAGCCTGATTGGTCGCCAAAGGGTATGTGCAACGATATGGAATTGATTATGCTGAAGTCTTCGCACCGGTGGCTTAAATGGACACCGTCAGAATTATTCTTGCACTAGCTACTCAGAAGGAATGGAAGGTATAACAACTTGACATCAAATATGCATTCTTACATGATGATTTAATGGAGGATGTCTATGTAGAGCAGCCCCTTAGTTTTGTGAAGAAAGATGAACCTAATAAAGTGTACAAGCTTAGAAAAGCTCTCTATGGACTCGAACAAGCTCCTCGAGCTTGGTTTAGTCGCATTGAATCATATTTCTTAAGGGAAGGATTTGAGAAGTGTTCCAGCGAGCAGACTCTTTTCGTTAAAACCAGCATTCAAGGTAAACTTTTGATTGTAAGTTTATATGTTGATGATTTAATATATATCGGGAATGATGAATCAATGATGAGGGAATTTAAGAAGTCAATGATGAAGGAATTCGATATGTCAGACTTAGAAAAGATGAGGTATTTCCTTGGTAATGAGGTGCAGCAATTGGAAAATGGAATCTTCATTAGCCAAAAGAAGTATTCAGGGGATGTACTTAAAAGGTTTCAAATGGAAGAATTTAATTCTGTTTTAAATCTTATAATTTCTAGTTTTAAAATTTCGAAAGATGAGAATGGAGTTATGGTTGAGAGCACTTTCTACAAGCAGTTAGTTGGGAGCTTGATTTACTTAACATCAACTCGTCCAGATTTGATGTATGCAGTGAGCTTAATTACTAGGTACATGTCATAACCTACAAAACTTCATCTTATGGCTGCAAAAAGGGTGCTAAGGTATGAGAAGGGAACTACCAGCTTTGGCATTTTATATCAGAAAGGAGCAAGTAACATGTTGACTGCCTATAACGACAGTGATTACGCGGGATGTTTGGAGGATATAAAGAGCACTTTAGGGTATGCTTTCATGATCAGTTCAGGAGCAGTAACTTGATCTTCTAGAAAGCAACCAATTGTGACACTGTCAACGACGGAGGCCGAATACGTAGCAGCGGCGGCATGTACTTGTCAAGCGATGTGGATGAAAATAGTTCTTAAAGGACTTGGTTGTGATAATAATGAGTGCACAAACATTTTTTTGTGATAATAGTTCAACAATAAAATTATCCAAAAATCCGATTATGCACAAAAGGAGTAAGCATATTGCAGTTCAATTCTATTTTCTAAGAGATTTATGCAAGGAAGGAGCAATCTGTTTAGTTCATTGTGGCTCACAAGATCAATATCCTAACAAAGCCTCTCAAGTTGGAACAGTTTCAAAAGCTTAGAGATGTACTTGGAGTATGTGAAGTAAACTAAGTAATCTACTTAGTTTAAGGGAGGATTTGTTAATGTTAATGTCCTTGTTTGTAGGAATTATTTTCTAGTTTGTAGGAATTATTTTTTGTGTTGTTAATAAATTTCCTAGTCTTTAGGAAGTCCTATTTTTTAGACTAGTACATATTGTTCTCTTATTTTGTTATGTAAGAATTTTAAATAGCCAACTTCTCAAATGAAATAAACAAGCTTTTATTCAAACTCATCATCCTAAAGCACCTAAAATCAAGGAAGTTATTTGGTGTCCTCGTGTATAGCCCTATGGATCTAGTGCAATATTGATGGCTCAACTATGACCAACCTTGATCTTTTATCGTGTGCACGCGTTTTCAAAACAAATAATGGAGACTGCATTGAGTGCTTTGCTGCCAACCTTGGCATCCAAAATTTACTTTATGCGCAGAACTTATGAGCATCATCCTTGTCACTGAAAATGCTCAAAATAGGGAATGAAAAACTTATTCAAAAATTGCAACTTTGACTTACAAGAACACTCTTCCTATTGTTATTAGGAGAGAGTTAGTCTTAAACAAAGTTAGGAATTACTAGGAGAGAGTTAGTCTTAAGCAAGTTAGGGATACCTAACTTTATATTTTTAATGATATGACAATGGAAAAATCACACATTTTCAAAACATGAAAATGTGTAGGCAGTTGGAAAGAGTAGAAGCTAAGGTATTTCAGTTTTAGTTGTCGTGTGATTATTGTAATTGCTTAAAAAATGAGTTTGATTTAATACATGTCAATCTTATTTTTAAACTTAACTCTAGTTCTTTCTAAAAGTCAAATTTATAAAAACATTTGACTTTTAGAAAGAACCAGTCTTAAAGTCATACACTGTACTTTGCTATAAGTGTAAAAAGTTACACCGACACAACAAAAAAATCATACATTATAGAAACAACTAATACATAAACACACAATTATGTTGTTTAATTGAAAAAATCCAAAATATTTTATTCCATATTCACGAATCATTATTCTTTTACAAAGCCAGCATGGATCCATAACATATGGGCACCACCTTGTAGTCATCTTACAGTAAAAGGATATTCCCTTTAACAATAAATAAATGCATGATGAAATTATTCATTTCCACACCAATTTAAGGTTTAGGCCACCCTAACTCTGAAAACATAAAGCCATGATTCAAAGTGACCAACAAAAAAAACATGCTTTCAAATAAGCATTTCAATTTGTCCAAAACAAAAATATGGCTTCTAGTTTTTCACAACAGTACTTGCCGAGAGTATCTAACATCCACCTTTTGCCCACTTCTATTTATATCATTTAGACACAACATATTGAACAAAAATATGGATGCTTAAATGCCACTGGTTTTATCTTCATGATACATGTATAAGCCAAGACCAAACCGAGCACATGCTTTACAGAAAGCGTTTTCCTCTGCTGTTGAAACTGGATCAGTAATGGAGGCATCAGTAGTTGATACTGTCCCAGTTGACTCGCGATATGCCTGTTATCAACAAAGAAAAGTACATTCGTTTTAGAATTTCAACTAGCTAAGTAGCAATGCCTCCGCAGAGGCCACTATCGTTCTCACATATGTTATAAAAGAGTTGATTGGTATATAGAATAAAACATTGAAATAGAATCAAACATAACTGATAATTTTAGAGATTTTGGGCTTGAATAGTGTAGAAGGTAGTGCCCTAATGACTTAAACAATTCTGAGCCTGAATTCAAATTCAGGGAACAAGTATAAACATATCAAACTTTTAATAAGATTAGTGGCATGTATAAAGGCGATATAATATGAGAAGCATAGCAGACTGCCTAGATCGTATTAGGCTTTTACATATTCAGTTCAATGTAGTAAGAATATAGAACCTTTAAATAAGAATAATGGTTTGTTCAGAAGATTAGATATAGTCCAATAAGTTCATCCAGTGCAAATTTAAGATCACAATAATGTTCAAAGTCTAATTTGCACTAAATGTAGTTTAGAAGGAAAACGGATAGAAGAATAGAGGTGGCAAATATGAATGAATGCTTTAGAAGTACAAGAAGAAGCTTCTGTATAGTTCATTTTATAATATCAAGTAGTATAACATCAATGACTTCGCAAGGGCCACATTCGTGTTCAAATATGTTTTGAAAGAGTTGGTATATAGAATCAATGTTGTCCATGGCTGACGGTGGTCCACGGCGAAGAGCCAAAACCCCGCCATACCGGACACTTCGTGGCATTGTTATAGCAGATTATGGTGGAAAAACTTGCAATATCAGCCAATATATACCATTGTGGCGAGCCCAAAAACCACCATGTGTATCCGCCATAGCGCTGCAATTGCGGATATTTGATAACACTGAGTAGAATACAATATTGACTTAGAATCTAACCTAGTTGATAATCTATGAGCTTTTTGGGCTTCAATGGTGCATAAGCTACTGCACTATTAGGCTTAAAAACTGAATCTCAATTTAGGGTACAAGTATGGACATAACAATGTTATGTCCTCCAGCAATAAGGTGATGCAATGCAAGTTAAACATGTTAAGCAAAAAGGACAAAAGAACAAGAATAGATCAATATTAAAATGCAATAGCAGACATACCTCTCCATCAGATCCGCGTACAGTAAGTCGGTATACAACAGTTACAGTTCCATTATCGGAGAAAATCACATCACGTATCTCTCCACACCATCCTGCAGCAACAAAAAAAAATCAGATGTTTGAATTTAGTCCCATCTTACCCTATCCACATAAATTCATAAATTCAAAACATGCATGTAAGACGTACCTGGAGCATAGAAGCTCAACATCCTATTGGCATGATACCTACGATTACCGAAGAGGCAGATTAATGAATTTATGAAGAAAAGAATAAAAGAGTTGTAAAAATAGAATTACCAGGGGATGAAGGTGGGTGAGGATGGATCGTGAGGTGGTTTGACGAGAGTGTCTGGAATTTTTTTGTTGAGGTCTCTGAGAATTTCAGCTAGAGGACGAGTTATGGTTGCCGATGAATTGGAGAATGAAAGGGAATCGTCAATAGGTACTACATAATTGGAATTGGATACCACGCTTGCTTTCTTTCCATCGCTGCTGCTTAGAGAAAACTTGACAACCCCGATGGTTCTTCTTCTGGTAAACCCTAGTGATGGTTCGATGCTAGCGTTTTTGGTAGAGAATGAAGTGAATGGAGTCGTTTTGCAAAGTGAAAACGCCATCAAGATATGGGATCAAGTTTTCCGAGGGGTTTTGTGGTGTGAGAGGAAGGGAGAAAGAAGAAGAAGAAGAAGAAAACAAGAGTTTGGTTTGGTGAGAAAAAGTGAATGAATAAGACTGAGGTGGGTGGTTGGTTGGTAGGGGAAGAGGAACAATAGTATCAATTATCAAAGAGGGGTGCGGATACTATCATCATAACAAAAGCTCATCAAATATTTACTTTTTATTTCGTTTTTTCTAATCACACCCCAAATCCAACTATTTGGTGGATAGTGTTAAGTACAATTGTTGTCTTGTTGAGTATTGAGGTCTCCTCACCTCTTACGCCCAATTCATCTATATTATTTGCAACAACAAGAAAATCATACTTTTTTTTTCTTCTCATTCCTCATCCAAAATCTTCGACTCTTTCTCATAAACTTTATCTCACAAATTTCGATAGACATATAGTAAAAATAAAAGGTTTAACTATAAGTATTTTATTACTATTCCATTTGTTTCAAAATATAATCATTTTTAATATTTCACATGAGTTAAAGAATGTAATTAATTTTATATAAGAAATATAAAATTGTTCTATTATGAAATCAGAAATGGAATAAGAAGTGGTGGTAATGGCAGATCAAAGCTTTAAATGCAGTAGATAGGTGTTCACAGTGATTTCTGGTAAACAATCGCTAGTCTTCTAAACTATCGAATAAACTTAATTACTGGTATTCATATTTAGGACTTCTAATTAAAGTGTTTCAAAGACATCCAATCCACTTCGATTACTACACTAAATGATTCGAAGGATAATTTTTATATGATATAAGGAATGTTCATTAGAAAAGTAAAAAGACTTAAGATTGGGTAAATGGCAGGATTAAGTGAGTGAATGTAAAAGTTGCTGAATGTTTAAAGGATTCGAACATAAGAAAAGCGTTTAAATGCAGAAAGAAATAAATGACTCTGAATGTAAAAGCTTTAATGTAAAGGCATGAACGTAAAAATGTTTGAAGCACAAATGAAATGGAAATGAAAGACAAAACTGGAAAATATAAAGAGTTTTCATTGAATTGTAAATGTTGGTGTTATCATACGTACATCTTTCGAGCATTCGTTTCCCTATCCATGCGGTATTTTGAATGTTTACTGAATTTGTACAACAGATATGACACCCTGAAATCCTAACACTAAGACCTCTATTTATACTATTTCGACCATAACGGTCTTGCTATCAGAATCTGCCACGTTCGAAGCATGCAGAGCATTACTTCCCTCTAGCCTTCACGCGTCCTCGAACGCTCCAACGCTTATGTATTTGAATTTCCAATATCCCGCTCACGTTTGAATTTCAAACGCCTTGGAACCTTCGTTTCGAATTCGTTTCAAAGGTTATTTTCGAAAACAACCTTCACAAATATAATCTCATCATTATTTCGAAAATTTTTTAGACTTACACTCCACAACTATCATTCGAAACCTTGAACTTTAATATTTCCATTCAAAAAAACAGTCTCTTCCATTCCAAACCATAAAACTTGCTTTATTCAAACAAAGCCCAATCATTTCATTTCGAATCACAATATCAAAATCTTCAGCCAACAAAATGCCCCTTTAAAATATGTATTTCGAACCCTTTGAGAAATACTTATTTTAAATAGATTCACAAGATTTTGATAGGTCTTTTGAAGAATCATGACATTTAATGTGCATGACTTTACCCACGTCAATCAAGACGCCTCTTTGAGTACCTAACCGTCTTGGACCAGTTACCACAGCATGGTGCGGTTTTAAAAATAATGATTACTATTAATCACACTCATTACCAACACTAGATCTTACGCCACCTCTCTCTGAATCCAACCAACGACTTCCACGTACCCCTAGTCTTATTTAGTGGGTGTTTACACTCACTCTTCCACACTCTCTATAAAACTCATCAGTTTAGTCTTTTCTTCTTTTTCCCCAAAATTCTGAAACCCCCCTCTTTTTTTCACTAAACCCTAAAACTTCCAGAAATCTTAACAATGTCTTCATCAACATCATCACAATTGAAGAAATCATCAAAGAGGAAGAACAAGAACAACAACACGGAAACTGTCATGGAGAGCAAGGTGGGTACTTATCAGAATTAATCTGTGCTCAATCCTCAAGCGATCTCCAAAGAGAAAGAAATGTTGTATGCTTCTCAGGTATTAATCCCTACCATTGTTGCTGGAAAAAGGTTTGCCCTAATGGGTCCTTTAACCGTTTTTGAAATTCTAAAAGATACTAGGAAAATTTTTCCCGTTTGCTATAAATTCAAACCCCTATTCAACAAGATGGATGCCCCTAAGGCAGGAACTGAAGACATAAGCGAATCATCTGATTCGAAAACAACTGAAACTCCAGTCTCACCTCCAAAAGATCCTTTTATTTTAGATTACATCAAAAGCAATTTCAAACCATTTCGATCCTGCCCCACTTCAGATGTAGCATATCAAAATTGGCTCACTAAAGTAGAATCCAAAAAATCCCAGCAATGGGAAGAATTAGGAATTTATAATTTAATCAAATTGTCGAAACCAGGCTTTACTTACAGTCACCCATTGCTATTTGCTTCATTGTACTTCTGGGACAACACTTATAACACTTTCCACCTTCCGGGCGGAATGATAACACCCACCTTCTTTGATATAGCTGCCATCACTAGTCTTTCACCAGTGGGGGAAACTTATATTCCTGATAACGAAGAACATTCTAGCATCATTGACTTCGATGTCAAACTAGCTAGCTTTTCAAAATTCATCAGCCATTATCATACCGAAGGGGATGATGTCTCAGACGTAGAACATATCGCTTTCCTTACCTTGTGGCTATCACGATATGTGTTCTGCAGCAGATCCTTGCAAGTGGCGAGTAGGTTCATTCCCCTAGCCAGGGATTTCCATGAAAATAGGAAAGTCTGTCTGAGTGAACTGCTACTTGTCGATCTTTATGAGAGCTTAAGGTCAGCAGTTTCTGGTTTAAAATCCCATGCTCTAAAGAACATTTTTCTGGCTGGACCCTTTTGGTTGCTTCAACTATGGCTTAATGCCATGTTCGAATCTTCTTTATCAACTGCTGATACTATCATCGAACAAGATCCAGAAATAGCTGACAGGATCATCGAAGGCACAAGGCTTTGAAAGCTTACTCCAAATGATGACAAGGATGATTTCAAAATCCATTTTTCTAAATACATCATGATCTTCTCAAAAAGACACAAGTTCGAAGAGTCCATGGAACCTTTTACTCAAAGGACTTGTGGACCATCATGGTTCACAACGTCTCTCTCAGAAGCTGTCAAGAGCAGAGAGATGCATGACATTTGGAAAGCGTTTCTTCTTCCTAGGCTAATTTCCTCAAGAATTACTCCAACAAAGAATCAGATTTTCCTCCTGGCTTATCAACCCAACTTCGTTTCTCGACAATTTGGCCTGTGCCAATTAATTCTTGAACCTTTGTTCCAAACACAAAGTGCCATAACCTCAGGCAAAACGTTCAAAGCAAGAGAGGCCAAATTACAACAGGAGCAATATCAAGATTTTGCTCAGTTCGAGCTTTTACCTTTCGAGCCAACATACTTCACAGCAAATGGATTTCAAGAATGGTGGACTAAGTTCTACCAGACATATATGTTTGACACACTCACCATTCAACAAAAGCTAACTGGCACGTTCAATGTGCAGGTACACTCCAAAAAAGGTATGTTCACTCATGTCAAAGAAATTAGGGCTTTTCAAAATTATTTCGAAACCACTTATGATCCCACACACTTGGGAACCACTGTACATCGAGCGGCCGAGACCTTGAAGGAAAAATTTAAAGAAAAAATTTCTGAGTTCAAACTTCCTTCAGGGTTGTCACCTGAGGATAGGTATAGGTTGGCACTCGAAATGCATCCACCTAAATTTCCTAGGTTGCCTACCTCAAAACTGGCTCTGGCTTGGTTTCCTCCATACCCTTGGTGGTTTACTTGCAAAGAAATGTTCAAATACCAATATCAAAAGAAACTAAAGCCATCTGAGATTATGATATGGGATCGTTACTGGCTTCATAATTTCCCAGGACATCTTCGCTATGACCTTCCTGCCATTTCGATTACATCTAATCAAGGCACAGGTGCGAATGCTTGGGAAAATTCCAATTGTATCCTAATTTCCTTATCCTTAACATTTTACCTTAATTGTTTCACTTTTCAGCCATTAGGATAAAAAAAGTTACTTTGAAGCCCAAGGAAGGGAACACTTCTCAACAAGCTATTGAAGTTAGCGATGATGTAACTCCAACAATACCAACAACAACAACTACTACAACAACAACACCGGCGGCAACATAAATTTCAATTCCAAAGGTAATCAACTAACCCTATTGTTTCGAATAAACTGAAGTTTATGATTTAGATCTAACTTATGTTTAAACCTTTTCAGACTAGCAAACTTACACCAACTACTCCTAAGAAAAGGAAACAAAGCCCCACTGAAAAGAACCTCAAGACTGGTGAAAATTCTCTAACAGCTTCTAAGAAGAAGCAAAAGAAAGAAAGCTCCAAAGGCCCTGAGCCTACTAACGTTCCTGGACTTGATTCCAAAGACGTTGCTCCCTCAACAACATCCAAAATTTCACCTTCGACCTCCAATGTAATATTGGAACATATTGACAGTAACATTTCTTCTGATAATCCACAGGTAATTCAAATTCGAATTCCTAACAAAAATAGTTATTCATACCTTGGTACATATTCTTAACTTTTCTTTGTTCATGCAGGATACTTCGAACACGAATCCTACTGCTTCAACTCCTCCAACCGGGACCATTGCTCCAATCACTTCCTCTCTCCATGGGGACTCCAGCAACTTCGTGCAAAACAAAGGGTCTTCCAACATGGTGGCCCTGACTGGGACTTCGGAGGCACACGATGATCAAGGCACCTCACCTCCTTTGAAGGAAGCAAACGAAGAATCACCCAACAAGTCTAAAGAAAATCCACCAGAAA